ATAGGGAATTCGCAAACCTTTGTGCTTTCATTTCGAGAGTATTCAATGCTATTCCTCAATGACAGTCCCTTGTGCCCGAATGAATTGTTTCGTCCTTGCCACATTCTCAGAATCTAGGGCTTAAGTACACAGATCTTAAACTTCATAGTTACAGTCATAAAATAGTATTTGTTTCTTGCTCTTAATTTTTAGCATAAATGATCAGCAGCACAACATAGCTGATTGATTGGAGCTTTTGCTTAAAATTCATTTTTGTTTAAAAACGAATTAAGTTACAGCATTCCCTATGGTGGCTTTTGATGATCTGTTCTCCCACTGGAGACCCATCTACAGAAAAAGGCTCTGCCTTTAATTGCAAGGCAGTGATCCTACTCTTTTGTTTCATTCATTCATTCACTTATTCATTCACCAAATATTCATCCAGCTATTGGCTAGAGCTGTTTATGTCGGATGGCTCCTCCACACCAGCTTTCCAGCTACACTGCTAGTGTTCCTGCTTCTTCCTTCTGCACTGGCTCTTATTTATTGCTTGGCTGGATCAGACTACCAGGGTGTGTGAAGGGGAGGCCTTTGGTGGCACTTTCTCTTTTCCTTGGCTCATTAGCTTCTCCACAGAACAGGGAGTCATATTCCCAGATAACCCAGTGAAAACATGGTGTTTATTTGCTGGGTTGTCTCTGTGCTGGGGGTGGGGGTCAGGAGGAAAAGATAGGAGAGCACCCCCACACCTATCCATTTGTGCTGAAACTGAGTTCCCAGCTATCCCTTGCCTCCCCCTCCCCATTTTCTACTCCTTCCCCCAAAGTATGTGTCAGTCCATACCAGGGTTCTGGAGCATTGTGGCAGCCCAGCTTACTTGTGGTGGTATTGTTATAGGACAGGGAGAGGGGCAGCCCAAACCCCGCAAACCTGCCTATTCTACATGGGTTCTGCCATCCGCCGCATCAACACAAAACATATGAGACTAATGGGAAGGATCTTTAATAAAACTAGGAAACAATACAGGTAAGGCAAAGAGTCTAGTTTCTAAATGAAGCACCCAAAGTTACCCGTCCCCTCGTGGGTAAAAGTCCATCCAAATGGGATTGGCCCAGAGCAAGGCCCCAAAGCCTGCTACAAGTCTAAAGCATCTTCCAGTGGGGACCCACAGCAAAGGGTCACAAACAACCAGACAAGCCCGGAAGGAAAAGAGCAATATCAACATCAAGATAAAAGCTGCCATTGTCACCTCCCCACGGGTCTCACCCACATCTGTGTCACCCCATCCACGACCAAAAGACAAGCGCAGTTTCTTTACGTGTCTCTAGGCTCCATGCGCCTCCTCCAGGTCTCCAGGCTCCATCCTGCTTCCTTCCTCAGTCTCTTCTTCAGCTTCTCCTCTTCCTGCTCAGCTCCACCCTCCCTTGGGTGGGGCAGGGAACCTCCCCCTTTCCTGGGACCACCCTGTTACAGTATGATGCATTCTGGGCTGCCCATGGTGGGTCTGAGCAGGGTGGTGTAGCTGTTAGTCACCTAGGATGACTCTGATGCTATCTCGGCCTAACGGTTTCCTCTGGGTAGGCACTTCCGGCCCTCCTGTTCAAGAACCCAGAAACCTGTTGGACAGCCCAATTCTGAGCAGAAAGAGTCGACTTGTTATAGGGCAGCCCCGATACAAAACGGGATGCCTGACTGCGGGTCCTCACCCACGCGCTTAAAAGGACTTACCAATGCTCTACTGCAGGCACACGCGAAAGGTTAATAAAAGGTTTATTTACAAGGGAAGGGGAAATGAGGAAATGTACAGCTCTGGGAGAAAAGTGGGAGACAAAGTTTTAAATGAGTCCTACCCGAAATGGCACTCTGAGAGCTGGCCACGAGCCAGGAGCCGTGAAGCCAGGAGGCGAGCGACAGCGACCCCCCCAAGGCCCACATGTTTGGTTTTTATATCCAACCTGGCTGCTTAACTCCACCCTCAGGTCCCAGCCACCTTCCCTTTGGTGGTGACGGAATTTGTCTTTCCCAATGTCCTGATGGCTTTAGTCTGGAGTGGGGGTGGAGTCCACAAAACATATGGGATTAGCGCAGGACATCATTTCCCCCTAACAGACTAAGGGAGAAAGGAAAGAACCCCATGGGTCAGGGTTCAAAGACATGCTAAGAGAGCATGCTGGTCCACTGACTCAGTCAGTACCTTTGAAAAAAAGCAAAGAAAAAGGCAAACACTGCATGGTTACCAAGAAAAGTCCTTTTTGGCTGTCAACTCTGCCCTAGTGTCCTCACTTTTGTAGCTGTGTGGCTGGAATAGGAGGGCATCACTATGAATTTTTGGGTACGAGGGCCCCTTTCATTGACTCTAAGTGAAAAAAATATCAGGTCCCTAACTCACTTGAGCTTGCCTGTGAGGCTAAGCATTATAAAAATAAAAACAAAAATACTTCTTTTCAGAAAGCCTACTAAAATGTACAGGGAGGAAATTGAGGGTCGGGGAAGTAAAGTGACCAGTCTAAGGAGCACAGCTAGATTGCAACATGGTTAGAGCTGAACTTCACCCTTGAGTCCATTCCCCAAATCAATTGTCTTGCCCTATCCTTGGCTGAGTTAAATAAACTAAAAAACACTTTCACGTTCAGGCTTTTTGTATTTTAGGATGCCAAGCCTCTGGACGGTGCCCATATTTCTAAGACTGGCACCCAAAGTAGCAATCTAAGTACCTGAGAGTTCCCAGGTGGTGCTGGACTGAGGAGTAGAATTGGGATGGTTCTACTGAGTGTGAGCAAACTCTCAGCTTGATCTTCACTGACTTCTCCCTAATCCCCCTTCACAGCTCTTGCCACCACCCAGCTCACTGTTCACCTCAATGTGGCTCCCCTTTCCCAGGGTGAGTTAGGTCTGGGCGGTGGGGGATGAGAAACAGAGAACACAGGGGGTCACAGAGGCATCCATGCAAGTCAGTCCCCTTCAGTGTGCTAGTCTCTGAAGACATTTCTCCTCTTCTCTGCTTTGGGGGGGAATGGGAAGGATCCAGCAGGGGCACCTAGCCTGGTTGGTGGCCAGCATAAAAGCACAGCAGAGGGGCCTCCCTGGTGGCGCAGGGGGTTGAGTACTGCACTGTGAAGCAATCCACAGCCTCTGTAGCAGTTGGTCCCTGGCTGGCCAGGGAGAAACCCACATGGCAAGGCAGACCTCTCCTGTCTCATCTGCTGCTTCCCTCGGCAGTGTATTTCAATAGGTCTGCCTGCTCTGTTCCCCACTCTGTCTCTGGTGGATCCTCTCACCGCCCCTCCCCCCCCATTCTGGCCTGTACCCCAGCTCTTGCATGCATAAATGAATAAATCTTAAAAAAAAAAAAAAAAAGCACAGCAGAGAAAGAAGCTGTTCCAGATTCCAGCTCCTGCATCCCTACCTTGCAGTCACCTCTTCTCTGGAGTCTGCTGCAGATTCTGCTGTCTGGGAATGCCCTGGGGAGGTTTGCTATGTGGGCCCCAAGGGAATCCTGTATGCAGTATCTTGCCTTTACTCTATTTAACAGGAACAGAGAAAAGGTCCTTTAGTGAGCAGCTGGAGGGAGCTGAAATTCCCAAAAAATCAAACACATCAGTTGAATGTAGGAAAAGATTTAATGCAATGGGAGACTTGAGAAACTTAGCTTGAATTCCTTGTTTTCTTCCTCCTCCTGAACCACACATGATTAGATGGGTAGTTGTGGGTTTCCTGAAAATAGGATACCGGAAGGGCCTCCCTGGTGGCGCAAGGGTTAAGACGCAACCTATGAAGAAATCCACGGCCACTGCAGCACAAGTTCGAGCCCTGCCAGCCAGGGAGCTATCCACATGGCGCAGCAGACCTCTCCTGTGACTCACCCGCTGCTCCCCTCAACAGTGTATTTCAGTCAATCGGCCTGTTCTGTTCCCCACTCTATCTCTGGTGAATCTCTCACCCCCCACATCTCTGGCCTGTACCCCAGCTCTCGTATGCATAAATAAATCAATCTTAAAAAGAAAAAATAGGAGACTGGTGAAAGGTTTGGCGCAGTAAAGAAAAGGAGAGCCAGGCTACATTTCTCAAAGGGAGGGAAAGTTTATTGCGCCCCTGGCGGACCTCACAGACCCAAGGTGGGGGTCAGTGAAGCCGCCCACGTTGTTAGGGGGAAGCAGGGTTTTATAGGGCGAGGAGAGGTCAGGTGGGTAGTTGGGCTCCTACGGTGGGAAAAGTTTGTAGGGCAGGTAGAGGTTCTTTGTCTGAGACGAGACTCGTAGGGGGAGGGGGGAGGCTCATTGTCTGAGTCTTCCAGGCAGGTACCCGCATTCCTGCCCCCCAGGTGGGCTTCCTGGTTGGCTCCTGCATTCCGGCCTGCTGCATGGACCTTTCAACTGGAAGATGGAGAGGAAAACAGGTAAGGAAGGAAAGTTGATTCTGTCTTAAGAATCCTTTTCCAGGGCACCGACTGCCAGGGAGGGTCCTGCCAATTTCCACACCAAGAACACCAGGTTTGCAGAAATGCCATTTCAAAAGAGGAGAGAAGAAGAAAGCAAGGATGGACAGACATAACAGAAGAAACCAAAAAAGAAGACATTTCAAAAGAATGCAAGAACAGCTCTAATTTTGAAGGCAAGAAACAAGCAAACAAACAAACAACGAAGTCCTATAGAAAAAGAGGGAGACCCTGACACGCAAGGGACTGGCCAAGCCCAGGGTCCTGGAGAAACTTCTTCAGAAAGAGGGGCCAGGGCGGTCCCATCCCCATGTTTGGGCAGATTAATGGAGTCTCAGCTCCCTCGCTCGAGTCCTGCCCTGGGAGGGGACAGTATCTGTTTAGATTTGTGTCTAAATTTAAACCCTGATCGCCTCCCTCCCTCCCTCCCTCCCTCCCCCCCTCCCCACCCCTTCCCCTCCTCCCCCCGCCTTCCTGGTTCTGGCGCAGGGCCCCGGGCCGGGCAGTCCCGCAGTCGCGCAGGGAGCCGGGCGCCGCCGCCCACTCGCCCGGAGAGGGACCGGGGCCGCCGAGCCCAGGCGACGGCGCGATCGCGACCCCCGCCCCGCGCGCGGCCCCGCGGAGTCGCACCTGGAGGACTCGGAGGTAAAGGGCCCCTGCGGGGTGGGGGCCGGGCGGCCAGCGGGGCGCGGGGCACCCCCTCCCTGGCAGCTGCCCGGGTGCAAGGGGGAGCGGCCGACCTTCTGCGGCTGCCCGGAACAGGGGCACGAGCCTGCGCTCCCACGCTCTCGCGCCAACCCCGAGGATCGCCCCGGCTCCCACCTGGGCGTCCCTCCTCGGCCGGCAGCGGGTCGGCCGGGAGAGCCCTCGGAGCGCGAGAGGGGAGGGGCCTTTCTGCGGTCCAGGTATTTTGGTAGCGCCTCTAATGCTGCAGGAAATAAAAGTTAAGCGCAGCCAACTTTGTAAAGGGCTGGATGTGTGAGCAAAACCTCCCAGGAAAGCAGATCCCCGAATCAGAAGAGATGGGTGTTGAAAGAGAAACAAACTGGCATTTCTTTGCCAGCCTCCGGGCTTCCCTTTTCGATTAGAGATGGGCCTTTGAGCGAGTCCGCTAGTTCTCTTCATCTCAAATCCCTTTTCTGAATGTCACGTCTTCTTCAGAACTTTCCAAAAAGCTCCCCTTACCGGGCAGTTGCTCAGGTAGGGAGGATTCTGGTAAAGTCTGAGACTCTTGGATGTGCCTGGGTTCGGAGATTGGGTGTAGTGGGGGTGCTGGCCACATGGTTCCGGAGCACCAGGGTGAGACTCGTACCTGGGGTTTCTTCTTGGTGCTGTTTTAACCTCCATGATGCGGGGAACCACCCTCACGCTGAGCACTGCCTGGTGTATTCCTCTGGCTTCTCCTCTGCATCTGGAGGCTCCCATAAATTTCCCCCTGGATTTTAAGACCTGACATTTCGCCCTAAGTCAATCCCAGCAGGCTGCAGGCTTTTGAAAAGGAGAAAGGAGATGGTGATTCCCATTCATATTCAAAGGGAAAATTGCTCCTCCTGAGGCTGAGCCCTTGGTCTGTGGTCAAATCGATTCTGCCTCCCCTTCCTGGGTCAGGTTCTGCTCAGGACCCCCACCCCCACCCCCAGCCCTGTTCAGCTCTTCTGGGCTGGACATACTGCTTAGCCTACAGAATTCTGTGATTTCTCTGCAGACTTAGATATCCTGGGCAGCAGGGGCATTCAGGCATCCAGCTCAATTGTCTTCAAGGAACAGGAGTGACTTTCAGGGAGGGCTTTATAAAGTGTAGGGAGGGGCCCATGGGTCCACCAAGTGTGAGAGCAACTCTCCATAGAAATATTTGCAAGTCAGGAAAATGCAGGAGATTGCAGATGAGCTGGTGTGTGTGTTGTGTGTGTGTGTGTGTGGGGAGTTGATGGGGAGGGGTCCCTGGAGCAGGAAGGGGGGGGGGAGTTGTTGATGGGGAGGGGTCCCTGGAGCAGGAAGGAGGTATTGGCAGCAAAGCTCAGCAAGCCATGCTCACAAGTCTACTCAAACATCACACAACTCAAAGCAACACAATTCCCTCAGAGCTGCCTGCAGCTTCTGAGCAGAAGAGGGAGATGGTTCTGGACATCCAGCTCACCCTGCTGGGTGAAGGAACTAGAAGAAGTGGGTTTAGAAGTGGGTTTAGTCCTCTGGGAGAGTAAGTTAGAAGTTTCATAGGGTTTATGACCTGCTAAATCTCTTGCAGAAATGAATTGGAGGTAGGAACAAAGGACTTCTTACACTAAAGGGCAGGTTGCTGCTTGAGGGCTGTGTGCAAGTTTGAGCCTTGTTCTAGGAAGCTCAGAGGGACATCTTCCACAGAGGCACTTTCTTTGCTATAGTTGAGGAAGGAAGACAGAGGTGGAGGTCCTGAAACTGTCACCTGAGCAACTTCCTGTGTGGCTGGGGGTGCCCTGAAAAGAGATGGTTTTTTGCTCTACAAATTGAGATTGTAGTAACTGAGAGGGAATTCCCCAGAGACGTGACTGGGAGGGAGGTAGGAGAGAGAGAGGAGTGGGGGGAATTGCCCCACCTCCCAGGAGCCTGTTCTTAAGGGCTAGATTTGCTGGTTGGGGTGACTGCTTTGAAGTTTCTTTATCAAAACACCTAAAAAAATAAAAAAAACTGTAACAGCTAGTACTGGTGAAGGCAGTAAAGAGGAAATGAAGAGTAGGGGAAGTGACGATTTTTATCCAGGAAGTCAACTTTTCATGGTGAGGCATGAAAATTATTGAGAATTAAGGTTTCCTGAAAATCTCAGAGTAAAACCCTCTTTTGAGAGGTGAAGTCCATTTTTGAGACATAAAAGGACCACTATTTGGGGGAAGAAATGGAATTATATTACTTGATTAGGAATTCAAACCAGATAAACAAGGCTGTCTTAACACTCATTCTCCAGAAACTACTAACCAATTGGAAATCTTGCAGAAATCTTCTCTCCTCCCTCCCTGCCAGTCACTGTTACCTTTGTCCACAACATGAGTCATTACTTCCACTCATTAAGGTAGAGATACTTTTAAAAAATTTACCATCCAATAGAGAAAGTGAGACCTCTATCTTGTGGTGTATATAATTTTTAAGCATGTGTTATAGACCATAAGTTCTATAGTATTTAATATTCTGAAGCAAGGCTTGAAATAAACCTCGAAAGAAAGGTGGATGATGAGGACAAAGTACAAGGAGTGGGTGCAGGGAGAACATGCTAGCTTTGTTCTAGAAAGTACGCCAGTGGGCTGGAATGGAAGGTAGTGAAGCAATGAGAAAAAAATTGAAAGTACTAAGATTAAAACCACAGGGCCTCTGAGTATAACAGATTCTGGCTGAGTGGATGTGTGGGAGCTAGAATCCAAACCACTATGAGGAAAGGGTTATTTTTAATTCACACAAAATCTCCTTCCCTAGCTGTGCCCCCCCCACCCCCACCCCAAAAGAACGTCTTTTTCTAACTTGGACATAGACCGGCTACAGTTCTGAAATCCACCTTGTGGATGGCCCCAGATTCTGCTCCATGAACAGTAAGAAACTCTGAAAGGTGTTGAGTAAGATGGCAGCCACAATGTCACGGGGATAGTATGGCAGAAATGCCACTTCATAGAGTGAGCAAGGGAGTCAGGTTAAGGTGCCTCTCAGAAATTCAAGCGTATTTTGACTTTGAGAGGCAGTGAGAGTGGAAAAAGATAGAAGAATAAAGAAATGACCACTGTTTGAGTGTGCCAGGGTGTCCAGAAGACATCTTCTCCAAGAACCCACAGAGAAGGGCAGCAAGGTTCTTCCAGCTCTTCCAGCCTTTTGTAGGCAGGGACTGACTTACTGGCTTTCAAGTGCTCAGAGATTAGCACAGGTCCCAGAACTTAATCATAACATTTCTCAATAGAAGCTTCCCTGATAAGTAAACTAACAGAAATAGGGAACTCCTTCTTCTCCCCATCAGCAGCAACTTTGTCTCCACCTCAGGAAGAGTATCAGTTGGAATTGGAATTGTTGGCTTACCTGGCTCTCCTCTGAAGTCCCCTGGATGGTGAGGGCCATGTCTTAGATATCTAGGCCCTGCCAGCCACTCCAGAATTGCTTGCTGAATGAGTAAATCAATGATTGAAAATGGAGAAAGAACAGGTTTTTTTAAAGTAGGATTCAAATATGTTGGGTTTGTTCTGAGCAGAAATGTCTAGTACTCCATGAGAAACACAGACCTTTTATGATGCAAGTATAATTTTTCTCTAGAAGAGTTAGCAGTGAAGTCACTATGGTGAGGAACCTAAGAGAGGGAAATGTATAGAAAAGAGAGTTGCAAATTTAAGACATCAAAATGAAATTAGAATTCTTAGTTGCTTAAATATAAATTATAGACACTATCCAGGGCCTCCCTGGTGGCTCATGAGGTTAAGCACTGCACTATGAAGCAATCCACAGCCTCTGCAGCACGAGTTCAATCCCCAGCCAGGGAGCAACCCACATGGCGCAGCAGACCTCTCCTGTCTTGCCCGCTGCTCCCCTCAGTGTATTTCAGTCAATCCACCTGTTCTGTTCCCCACTCTGTCTCTGATGAATCCTCTCACCCCCGGATCTCTGGCCTGTACCCCAGCTCTTGTATGCATAAATAAATAAATCATTAAAAAATAATTTATAGACACTTTCCAATCAGCTGACAGTGCTTGCAAAGTTTAATTTTCATTGACTAAATCCTTCATTTGTTCAACTGAATAGGCATGAAAATTAAACTTATCTCCCACAACCATGTGGCTACTGTTTTGTTGGGGGAAAAAAAGGATATAGTGCATGAAATTTAAAACTTCTTGCTAATGGAATTTCTGGCTTAGCTGGAGACAATTAATGGATCCTTTTCTCTAAGGCAACTCTAAGTCCTTGTCAGCTATTATTTGTTATTCATCCCTTTATTTAGTATTTACTGGTCATTTATTATATAAGCAAGATCTTGTGTTTTAAATGTTGACTTTTAAATTATTGGAGTGACATGTCTTTTCCTCCTCAGACTACCAGTATTACTGATGATGATGATGGTGTGTGTGTGTGTGTGTACATACTGGTATATATAATGTGTTCATTTTATACACCACTTTGTCATCACTATCTTTTTATTTCATTCAATATTTTCTACAATTTCACCTATAGTCCTTGCTGCTTTTTGGCCCTTCCTTTCACTGAGTCCTATATATATTTTTTAAAGATTTATTTATTTATGCATTCAAGAGCTGGGGTACAGACCAGAGATGCAGGGGGTGAGAGGATTCACCAGAGACAGAGTGGGGAACAGAACAAGAAGACATACTGATGTACACTGCCAAGGGGAGCAGCGGGCGAGTCAGGAGAGGTCTGCTGCGCCATGTGGGTTGCTCCCTGGCCGTCTGGGGATCCAACTTGTGCTGCAGAGGCTGCGGATTACTTCATAGTGCGGTGCTTAACCCCTGGTGCCACCAGGGAGGCCCTCACTGAGTCCTATATTAACTAATGAGAGCTTTGGGGTCATAATAAGGGATGGCATGGCCTCTGGAAGCTAGAGTTTGGCTCAGTGGACTTCTGGGTATGCCTGAACACCCCCACATTCCTGTCTGGCTCCCAGGGGCTCTGTGGGACCCCTGCAGCAACAC